TGCTTGTATTGGATTTTCATTCTATGAATTCAGTAAAAGTGCCATAGTGCTTCAATATGATTTCCATGATTAGTCTATTTGAAAAGGCTGATTTAGTACCCTAGGTTTGATTATGAAGATAAACTATCTAGAAGCAGTAGGAATTACTTTGAGAGTAGTACCTAATATGCATTTTTCGCATTAAAGAGATCCTAAAGTTACCTCCTAGTTCAACTTGGAAGATAGCTAATTAGCAGAACTCTTGTGTTAGTGTTGTAGGGACTGTAGACAGATGTCTGGCACGGGCCGAGATTGACTGTCTTCATAAAGAACATGCTTTAAATTTCTCATATAAGCTTTCCCAACTCTATCACCTACATGCACAGTATCACAACTAAAATGAGAAAGCACAAACAAAAATTGCAGTGATGATCACTCTACTCCATAATAACTCCGCATAATCAAAATTCAGACAATTGTCAATAAGAAAATAATAGGCCTAACAAAAACGATAATAAAATCGAAAGAAAAAAAAAATATGCGGACATCAATTGTACACCACAGGCCTATTTCTTTCCAATCCAATATTATAGTTTCCTCACAATGTCGACTACACACACTACCAAATCACAAAAACTCATTAAATAACATCCGAATGGTACCTTCTCATCGCTCTTGAGATTCGAGCAAACGGCAAAGATGAGTAGATCCCGCGTCTATCTCAACAAATCAGCAGGAGTCTTGTTGTTGTGTCATGTTCTCAAATTTTCATTTGTAAATAATGTAGACAATAAGTGAAAGTTTTCACAGTACAATACCATCTCATTAGCCACCCACGGACAACCCAGCCACCGCCTTCCTCGACCCGTGAGCTGCCGCCAACTTCGAAATCTGGACGCCACCTCCACCGTGGTTTCCTGAAAGAACGAAGATGAATTAGGTGATGGAACTACACAGAGGAGGAATAAAGGGGCGGCGTTTTCATTGAAGGAGTGAGATCTACTTTTTCAGAGGTAATCGTTTGACTGTGATTTGGAAAAGAAGTTGTAAGATTGATTGGAGTGTCATATTGGAGAAAGAAAAAGGCTGTCAAATGACTGCTAAGCGTGAAAGACCATAACAGCCTTTACTAAGCAAACTAAAACAATGAAACATAAAGGATATATTGGTAATTTTGTGTACATTTGCTTATAGCCTAAGTAAAAAAGGCTGTAGATTTGACCTGATTCAACAAAAAGGCGGAAAACCACTGTTCAACGTAAAAAAAATAAAATAAAATTAGTAAACATGAGTGGAGCACTTATTACAATTCACAATGAGAAAAATGGATGAAAAAAATTGACAGTAAATGACCATACTAACCTCTGAACCAAAAACAAAGAACAAACACATGAGGGGTATTTTGGGCATAAAAAAGACACATATCAAAGTTTTAACCCCTACAACTTTTTCTTATATGTTAAAGGGAGATAGCGGTTTAGTGTGAGATGATTATCCATCACTTCAAATTCCTAAATTTTGACCTATTAGAAATCAGTCGCCGCTCTTAGTTATGGGTTTTCGGGCCATATTGCTGCTGCGGATTAATCTAATGGAAAATGTACTAATATTGTCCATATTCTATAATCAGACAAACCACCGGTAATTACTCATTTATATCTACTTATGTACGGGTCAACTGAATTTGGTAAAGTTGAAAGAGAGAGGGAAAAAAAAAAGTCAATTCTCAATCCTCTTACCAAAAGGACCCCGCTTGTAGGGGGTTAAAAGTCCATGGTATGAATCAATTTGGACTGATTTTTTTTTTTTTTT